GATGATGATAACTTGTCTAGGGAGTTCAAGAAGTTGGACCCAGAAGTGAATCTGGAAGAGCTGGCCAAGCGCACTAAGAATTTCTCTGGTGCTGAAATTGAAGGTCTCGTGAGAGCGGCTCAATCCAGTGCGATGAATCGACTAGTGAAAGCTGGAGGAAAAGTTCAGCTTGATCCCGATGCCATAGAGAAGTTGGTGATAAATGCCGCTGATTTTGAATACGCCTTGGAAAACGATATCAAACCGGTTTGTCGCAATTTTTGAGGAAGTCGAGTATTTTAGTAGGAAACGTGTTTTTGTTCTGTTCTTTCAGGCCTTCGGGCGAAGTGACGAATCATTAGAGAAATTCCTCCGTCGTGGTATGGTTGTATGGGGTAGCGAAGTGACGCGTATACTCGAAGAAGGTGCTCGCTTAGTTGAAGAGACCGTGAATCCAGATGCTGGAGGTTTTGTCACTGCTGTTCTAGCAGGTAAGTGGTGACTGTATTATTTCCCTTGTCATAATCCTTTGCACTTCGACTGTTTCATTCGTTCTTTGAAAAGAATTTTCAAGTACAATTTTTGAGCTGCCCCAGGCAGGAACCGCTTTGTAATTTGCAGAATTTTTGGAGTTTTTTTTTGCTTGTTCCTTTCCATCCGTGTGTTTTCGGCTGTTCAAGAGGTATGGCGGGTTTTAGCGTTTGAACCAAGGATGACAACACTCGAGGACTTCAGAAGCCTAGTCGATGACCTTTGATGGCATCTAAATGACTCTGTGGGAAACTGGTACTGTGAGATGAGTTCATACTTTGCGTCAGCGTTCCGAGTCTACGCCAGCGTTTTGACGGGAGGGTGATCAAGATTAAAATACAGTTATTATATCCCGATGACCGTAATCTTAGTTTTGCACACAGTGTCCTCCAAATGCCCCCTCCTGAAGATTACTACCGTCAAGACTAATTCTTTTTCGAAATTGATCCTTCTGTTAGCAATAATTAGGGGAACTGTGTGCGTAGACACTACGGTGCCGTCTGAAGTAAGAAAATTGAGGGCAGTGTAGGTACAAGCAGCAAACATGTTATTGTGAGATTCACATCTGGGGTCGTATTTGGGTTGCTGGCTGAGGGTTCGGCGCAGAGTGTTGGGGTGGAAATTCTCCACGAAAATCGGCAGGTTTTTTGTTTTCTCAGGTTTCAGCTTTTTGGGCGTCTTATAGTGCTGTATTTGTAGCTAGCTGGTCGACATCGAATTTCGGGTGGAGGGGGGGGGGCGACATAAAATTTGGGGTAGTGTTGGTTTTGGATTGAGAGAAGGGGTCGTGGTAGTGATTGTTGAAAGAGGGTCACACCGAAATATGTAGTGACATAGTCCCAGATCTCAGTGATGCACCCATCAGAGACCACCAATAGTGTATCCTATGCCAGACATTTGAATTTTCTTTATTTAAGGTCCTCCACGATCTGGAAAGAGCTTCCTGGCTGCTGAAATTGCTCGCACATCTGACTTCCCTCTTATCAAGGTATTGCCGTCATTTGGCTGGCATATTGTTGTTTCCTTTTCTTTCATTTGCACTTTCATTGTGAAGTAGTCATTCTTGAGTGTTTTTCACCTTGCCGTCCATTTTAGGTAGTATCACCTGGAGATATGGTAGGATTTTCTGAATCGGCAAAGTGTCAATGTCTCCGAAAAGCATTTGCGGATGCTTTCCGTTCGAAACTGAGCGTTCTTCTGATAGATAATATTGAACGATTACTAGGTATGTGGTTTCTCATGAAATTTCAAGCGGTTTGTGCATTAGTTATTAATCCTTTCGTTTCAGACTACTCACCTGTTGGTCCCCGTTTCTCTAACCTTGTTCTCCAGGCGCTGTTGGTTCTGTTGAATGAGCCCCCCTCCACAGCCGTGCGTCTGCGGGTTAATCGTGACCAACAGTGTTTTTTGTGCAGATGGTTCATCGAGGAATCTTTTTGAAGTTTGCAAGAAATTTTTTGCCGGTAGTGTTACCAAAAACTGTGCTCAGATTCTGCTTTTGTTCTTTTTGTAGCGGAGCATCAATAGATCTGTAATAAAATGCATATAATGTCCCGTTCCCACCTCGTGCATGCGAGGCAGCTGTGAGCCATTTGACCCCCCCCTAGGTCTTTGGAAATAAAGAAGTGGTTTTTTCTTCCGCTGGTTGGTTCGCCGTGTGTGTTCACCCCGTCGGTTTTTTTTTGCGCCTACGATGAAAATCCATCAACCTTTCGCCTGTAAGGTTCAGAACAGGATTTTGTGGTCAAACGATTTTTTTATGTAGGGCTTTACGAATGTAAAAAGTGAGAGTAGTGGAAAGTGCAAGGATGAAAAAATCTTCTCCATCTACAAAAAAAGTTGCGAGTTGTGCAATAGGTTTTTGGAGAGATGTTGAAGATGTCATTCTGATGTCTGATATTCATTAACATTTTACCAACACTCAACACGTATAAGTCAGTTGCAAGTAATATGAAGGGGCAAACTTCCCAACGATGACTTGACTCCTGTATACTCAGCGTAGCTGACGTGCTATGTTTGGTCCTACCCTGGCTCGACGGTTGAATTCCAGCCGGTGGAAAGCCCAATTAGTAATCGCCGCAGATCGTGCGCTTGAATCGTGCTCCAAGCAGGTTGCATCGTCTTTTAGAGAAGGTAGTGTCCATTAGGCAGCAGGTGCAGAAGCTCAGCTTGTCACACAGTCCCAAAACATGTTGATATGACGATTCTAGGATCACCGACTCTTGGTACTTGCAACATCATCGAATCGATCGTTCCTGCGAGAACTCGAAATAGTAAATGCTTTCGGCGGTGAGTTTTGCCAGGGGGTCGTAAAAACTGTGATTCTAGGAAGTTGCGATGAAATGTGTAGCCCGCCTTATATTTTATATGAATATTTGGCAAGAAATAGTGGAGTTACTGTAGCGTCAACGTGATTGATGTGCCACGGTTGTTGACGACGCCGCTCAATAATGCATCTGTCTTCAAGAGTCTGAATGTTTTCTCTCAACGAGGAACTGGAACAAATGGCAATGACTGCAGCATCTTCTTCAAACAACAAAGGTGGGATAGTTTTCATTTTCCATCTTTCAGGGTTCACTGGACATTTTCGCCGCCATTGCTTTTTTTAATTTCACCGCCATAGGAACAAATACGGTGACAGGAATTTTTCTTCGACACGACCCGCCTCTGCCAACTTTATTGCTTTCTTGAGTAATCGCCCCCAACTGCCTTCATCCTCCACCCAGCGTGTTCCGCCAAAATCTACCGGGACGGGTAGTAGGGCTTTTGGGTGCGGTTCTTAACGGATTAAAGGTTTGAGAAATGAGTATGTATACAACAGAAGTGGTTCAACTCCCCATTCTCTCAGACCAAAGATAATTCCGTCACAAACGATTTCTCTTATTCCGAGAATATCAAGTACAAGATTTTCTTGTAATCCTCAGCTCTTACTTTACCTAGACTTGGTTGAAGTACAAACGGTATTTTCGCGCTGCCAACCACGGGGATACATAGCATGCGTAAAACAGGAAACAGTAGAAGTCAACAATCGGAAATTCCTCGAGGCCAAATACGCCCAACCCCCTCCCCTCTCCAGCGGCCAAATACGAGCCGTTATGGATTTTTTACATGGTGCTGTACCCTGCTCTGGCTGGAGTTCCAGTAAGTTGAGATTACTGTTACGCTGGGAGGCCATGGAAAGGGGATTATGCGTCAGAAAGGTTTATTTGTCTATAACAGAAACAGAAGATGGAACAGAATACGAAATAGAGAGGCAGAATACAGTAAAAAAATTCAGAAAATTTATTTGTCTATAACAAATAGAAAAGAATTACGCAAACAGTGAGACAGAATGATGATTAAAAACCACGGAACATTTTCTCGTACTAACAGGGACAATAAGTGCATTACCGCCAAGGATACTTCTTGAGCGGGTAATGAATAGTATTGATCAATTAAACCGGAGGCTTTGAGTATAAGAAGCTGTGCTTCGATCAATCCCTTTTTGGGATGCGCCATGCGTTTTACTATTGCTCAGGATTGTAGTGGAAGTGGAAACGGATTTGCTCTGTGACATGCGAAGGTCAGATGATATACAAAACCAGTGTTCTGGTTCATACATCTGCCCACTAGGTCTACTCCAGAAGGTGGTAGCGGCTTGATAATTGGTCTTGCGTCTAAGAAGGGTCAAGGACTCAGCCCTAGAACCACTCGCATGGTAAGCAGCGGCTCCTGCCATTGTACGAAATCAGAACAGCATTCAAACATCAATCTTCGAAAGCTAACCTGCATACACTGAAACTATTCAAGCTGAAGAACGTTTGTGCCGATGTGGCCTTTCTCCTGTGATTTCCTTTGTCGATTGATTTAGGGATACTAAGACCACTGTGTACATTTGCACTTGTCCTACTGTGTACATTTGCACTTGTCCAGTACGGAGGAACTTGTCAAGTGGCCTTTTCGCGCAGCCTAGGGCAGTTGTGTCCCCTTGTGGAGATAATTAGCAACATGCGTTTGAGTTGGTAATTCCGTGATGATTGGAGCCTCTAAGTGATCACTGTGATTCTTCTGTTTTCTTACTTGGTCTTCGTTCGTTACCTTGACGGATTCGGTAGCGCCATTGGTCTTTTGAACATCACCACGTCAGAACTATGGATCTTTCCACTTGTTGTGAATCAATAATCAACCAAGTCGCATGTTCGATAAGGACGCACAACGTTACAGTAATCTCGACACTTACAGGTCGCACATACAGCCGCTGAAGTAGAGGCAATACACTGAGTTGATGAGTTGGACTTGGAGTTGATTTTCTACGAGTCCTACCTCTTCCCCACTCCCCCCGACCCCGCTCAGCAGTCGAAAACAGCTCAATCCCGTGCCCTTGAAACCTGATGGGTTACATGTTGAAAAAGTAGTGCATGACTTTCCCGGGATTCTTTTCATCGCCGAGCTGCTCACTTAGAAAATGATTGATGAAGGACTCTGGAAACGGTCTCACTAGGTAGAACGTGGTTTACGTTGAATGTTTTTACCGCGGACGGACAGGTTGAGGCGTAAAGTGACAGCGATCACGTGAAAAAATGCGAGACGCAACTGAGATCATAATTTTCTCCAGGTTATTGAGATCGCTAAGGAGTTCAGGAAGCGGCCGGCTTCTGGCTCACTCCTGCTAGCTTAAATTCTCGCCAAGATTGAATGCCAATGGCTCATGGCAAGAAGCTTGCGATGAGCTACTGGCACTTTTCTCCAATGACTCAATCCGTTGGAAATAGGATAGTTCAGAGAAATAAGTCTCAGAAAGGAGCTTAACCGCCCTGCCCTGATAGCACGATAGAGCCTTCCACTGATCAATTCTTCTTCAGGACGCGGTGCTACTTCCTTTCAAAACAATGACTGCGGCATTTCTCGGGGCAGTTCGGCGACGGGGTAGAGGGGGGGGGGGCATTCCGCACTTTTGCTACTTCACATCAATGTGTCGACCAATCTGGACAGCCTCTTCTCGAGGTTTTGCGAAGATGACCCTACGAGCTTGCTCCAGCTTCACAAGATTCACAGGTTTCACCAGAGTGAGACTTGTAAACCGGAACTAGTGAAGCAACGAAAATGCAAAATGCCCCCCCCCCCGGCTCCTCATAGAGAAACTGCTCCCAGTTTCTCTATGAGGAGGCATTTTGCTGTTCTCCGTCGAAGTGGAGGCTTGTGAACTCTAGCAAAACTAGCACAGCAATATGCGTAGTTTCGAGATTTCACGAGTATTTGCAGGTCTCACCAAGAAGCTATCAAAATGCCCATCAGCACCTCTTCAAATACAAACGGTAAACTGACCTCCGCAGACAGTCTTTTCCGTGCGAGATGAATGACTCCTCAGATGCAGTAGCGTGCCACTTTCCCCGCTCGAAAGTGCGCGGAAACGGGGCTAGATGGTAGTAATACCCTAGTGCCGTCTTTCAGACCACAAGCACTGAAAGGGTGTGGAAATGTAGCGCGTTCGGTATATCTAGGCATGCGGCTAGCAGTATGTCAGTGTCGAGAGAACAGCAGTGGGGTATATCTACTCTCCAGTTACCGTTCTGAGCGGGAT